GGAATTCTGCAGCTCACAAACAATTCTAATGACAACAACCTTCTAAAACAGTTAAATCAAAAGAATATTAAGAATGCCAACAAATCAAAGGATGGAGACCAGGCCAAATGCTGCCAATTCACAGGAACAAGTTAGTTTAAAAAGGAAACCATTATGACATTTCAATTCACTCAAGTACTTAAGACAGGGAATTTAATCTTCGATTACCCAGTTCATGTTCTTTTAGTATCAAGCCATGCCACTAAATTAGAATTTGGTCTTATGCACACTAACTCAATTCTGATTTCTCATTATTCTCAAGAAGTCAGTGACTCAAAAACCCAAAAGGCTCATGTGCTTATTTTTAAAATGTTTTAATGCACAAGTCATTGATTACTGGCAATTCTGGTGTTAGTAAATAAAGTACTATTTCTTAAGATATAAGTTTTCCACCAAAAATGAACTATTTTAAAATCATGTGACTGAAAAATATCATCAACACAAATGACTCCTATATTGTCTGAGGAAAATAATTTTGTGTTACAGAACCAAACACATTGACAACAGTGATTTCTGAACCAGTGCTCCTACAGAGAAATGATAACAAAGGTGACCACATATACCCAGTTTGTCCATATGAGTAGCAGTCTACAACTGTTGTCCTGTAGTGATTATTAACACAGCCTTCTTTCACTCTTAAAAGTGTCCCAGTTTGGATAAATTATAAGGTGACCTCAAATGTAATTGACACTAACAGGAACTTTGGTCAATACAAAATGAAAAATGTAATTACGAGTTAAACCCTTTCTTCACAGAATCAAATGTAGAGCAAGAGGAAAGAGACCATTTTTCATTTCAGAAAAATTTGAAAACACTGAACACAAATATCTCCTTCCCACCACAGAATGGATCATGTTCATCATCATGCAAATGCTGTAATAGCAGTCCAAACTGCTGCTCTGAAATTATTGCAGTAAGCCCACAAATCTATATACACACATGTACTATTTACAGATATTTGTCTTCCAAATATATGTGGTATTTTGACTAATGAAATTAAACCCTTGAGTTGAAGCACTAAAATACAAGACTTTGTTGTTGTTCAGTCTCTAAGTCACGTCCAACTCTTTTGCAACCCCATGGACTACAGCCGGCCAGGATCCTCTGTCCATGGGATTTCCAAGGCAAAAATACTGGAGTGGGCATTTCCTTCTCCAGGAGATCTTCCCGACCCAGGCATTGAACCACTTCTCCTTCACTGGCAGGCAGATTTTTTTTTACCACTGAGCCACCAGGGAAACCCAAAATATAAGACTATGTACAGCAAAAACATCAAATATCTATTTCAGGAGCAAAACCACAAGTTCACAAATATACTCCCAAATTGTTAAAGATTGTCAAGATTTTTACCTCTAAAATAAATTGCTTTATTATCTGGGAAACTTCTATTTCAAAAAAATGAAAGAAAAAAATAGAAGTGTTATTGCTTTCTTACACTGGGTATCAAAATGTCAAAGGATTATGTAGACTGGGTACTTTAAATCAATGGGCTATAAGGTTTGGAAATGTCTGTATTACAAAGAAATGTTATGGAAATAGATTTACAAAAGAAAAACATGTCGCAGTCCTAGGCACTGGCCCAAAATTCTAGCATCTCACTGGTCTGGTTTTGACAGAGGACTTTTCATGTTCTAATTTGTTATCCACTCTATGGTAAATCAAGGGAACAGGAGGTTGGTGAGTGGTTTGCTATTTCCCAATCCGCTACAGCTATGGAAAAAGTAATACACATATTGTAATTGGATAAATGCAAATGTCCCATTTGATCTACTGTATATAAGGCCTCACTACATGTTCACTAACATGAAAAATATATCCAATCAGCCTAACACTTCTAGATATCACTTCATTATCAAGCTACTTCTTAAAACCACTTCTAATTTTAAATTGTTTTATCAAATTATATTACAGGCAGTAACAGCTGAAACAAGAACCCTGACAGACTGAGAGAGAGTGCAATCGTCAGATAAGTCTCACTTGCTTCATAAAGCAAAGTTCCTTCGAGTGTTAACAGAAGTTTTTGGTGCAACTTAACCTATAGATTTTTTTTTTATTACAACCTTTCATTTTCTTTGCATTTCCGATCTAACAACAAGTCTAAGGATATAAAAGTTTATTGACTTTGGCATCAGACAGACCTGGGTTAAAATGGGGGCTCCTACCACTTATTAGCTTTTTGAGAACAAATTATCTAATTGAGAACAAATTATCTAATCTCTCCAAGTCTCAGTTACTCTGTAAAACAGGTAACATCCTCATGAAGCTTGGCTGTAAGGATTACAAAATCACGCATGTGAAGCACAGAACCTAGCACGTAAGTATTCAATACAAATTAATTATGAATTTAGGCTAATTACCCATCCCAGTTTGCATGGGACAATCCTGGTTTGCACCTGTTGTCTAGGAAAATAATGTTCCTTTTTCTCTTTAGAGCATCCTAGCTAGGGCAATAAATTATATGATTACCTTAACAATGATGATGAAAGAGGTTGATATCAATTAAGAATATTATATATTATGACTTCAGATCTTGAAGGAAAAATATCAAATGTCACACAAAATAATTATATTCCTGTAATATAGTCTACTGTTAGTTCATTTAGTTATTCAATAAACATTTAAATACCACTTATTTATACTCATCCCATTCCAACAATGATTAAAGGAAGCAAATTTCTATTTTGTTCTTTCTGTTCTATACAGGTACTGGTAAATTTCAGACATTATTTTAAAAGAAGAAAACTGACAGAGCACTAATGCAGTTCCAGCTACTCAGAAACACTACCCTTTGAATTCCCAGTGAAAAACACCCATTTTCACCATTAAGAATGCCCGACACCAACTAACATATATCAAAGAAGCCCATTCAATTACAGGGCCCCCAAAACAGAATAAATATTTTAAAACATGCATTCTACACATACATCATCAGGAGACGCAACAAAAAATAAAATTACCTGACTGTTATGACATAGTATTGTATACAATAAACTGGATTTTAGTTTTCTTCACTCTCTGCTCTAGAAAAAAAAAGAATCCATTATTCTTCCTCTTTTATAAGATAGACATTTTCTTTGAAACAGACACATCCTAAAAATTACATATCCTATGTATTTTAGATACATACCCGCCATTAATTCAACCTAATTCCACATTAGTATTAGGCTATTTGGGGAGACTAAGAAGGTCAGAGGGAACCAACAATCTTATATGTTAGAAGATATCTTTTAAAGGCTGACAGCCCATCTACCTTTTAATATAAACTTATTTAAAATGGGCTTTTATGCATCAGATCAGTAATTATTTTCAGATTCTCACAGTTACTTTCAATAACTTATTTGGTACGTTACACTAGCCTAAGGCAGGAACTAAAGTATGAAAGATCATCAGGACATTTTAGGCTAAAGAAAAACACTTTTTCAGTAAGAGAAGAGTATCCTAAAATAAAATTTAAAAAATATTTAGATTGGTCTTCCTGGGTACTTTATTTCTACAACTTAGAAAACTGATTCTGGGGCAGCGATAACTGTGCCTGTCTGCTCTCAAGTCATCCAGGACGGACATAATGTACCTGATGGGGTGATAAGAGTATTTTGTCTTTAATAATGACAAGAATTGTTTTAAAAAATGACTAGTAGTAGTGTATTTCTTCCTCCTTTCAATCATCCAAAGCCACTGCGGTTAATTCTGATTCAGGAAATGCGGACTCCTTATTTCCAGCAAAAAAAAATAATTGTGGGGCCTCGCTAAGAGTGAATGACAACCTAATATAAATGCTTCCTCTTTCCGCAAAACGAAAGAACGACCTAAATAGACAAGCCTGCTAGGCCTCAGATTCCCGGACTAACCTGTGGAATAAGTATGGTGAAACTGTCTAGGGAAGGAACGTGGCTGTCTCCTCCATCTTGAAATTAATCAGCATAAGGGAAAAAGGGACGGAGTATTCAGGAAGCAGAAGCCCAACCGGTTAATACTAGTTACTAAAGCTATGGCGTACGTGGCAGGTACCGCCCGCAGAAGCCGAGACCCTTAGGCATTTTTTTGAGGGGGGAGGGGTTGGGTTGTGCACGGATTGAACGGAAATTAACTTCAAAATCATTTGGCCCAATTCCCATCCTCAGCCAGGGAAAAACAACAAACACGCAACGGCTTTTCCCTCCTTTTTGGGGGGAATCCGTGGAGTGGTATCTGGCAAAGGATACGCCAGGGTTATTCAAGCAAGGGAGTAAACCACATTTGTCTTAGATCCTCAGGGAAGATGTCATCGTGGCCTCAGGGGGCGCCTAACTGATAGTGCCCTGCAGAAGCAGAAGGCTCAAAATGGGGTTTTGCAAATCCTGGGAAATCTAAAGGCCCGACAGTTCCCAGCATCTAACTTAGAGCAGTCTGATTTTTTTTCCCCATTTCCTAAACCCAAGCCCGCCATGTAAAAGAGAGGGGGAGGAGGAGGAGGCGAAGGAAGTCTCCAGAGAACTGAGGAGAGGAAAACCTGAGATGATCAAAGATTCTCATGCATGAGGCCAACACTCGAAAATCGCCTCCCCCAAATTCTTAAGGTTCTGGAGGGCCCCAGCTGCGGCTCGCGCGGCCACGGAGAGGAAGTACTACCTTCCTCCTTCCCCTTCTTAAAAAAGCCTGTCGACTATACACCCAACTAAAATGGCAGCGGAGACTACGCCACGGAGCCCCCCACAGCAACCGGTGCCTGGGGTCCGGAGGCGGCGCTGAGCCTCCGCCACGATGCACCACTCAGGCCATTTTGAGAGAAAGCAGCAGATGGGGCTTCGCTGTCTTCCTCTCGCTCTCCATCCGTTTCCCAAGGCTTCACTTACCCGGTTTTGGTGTCGGGATCCGACTCGGTTGGTTCGACCGCCGCCGCCACCGCCGCCGGGGCTCCTGCGCGCCTCCCCTGCCGCAGCTCTCAAGCCCGCCTCCGATGAGTCGCTGGTCGAGACCCGCCTCTAGCCCAGCGCCTGCTCGGAGACGTTGCTCAGGCAGCCATTATCTTCCCCATTGTTACCAAGCAGCGACAGGAAACGCCTGCCCACAACAGGAAGTGATGATGCCGCGTCTTGGCCCCGCAGCCCCAGCCGATTATCCACTCCCAGCCGATTATCCAATCCCAGGCGATTCCTCGAAAAACCCTCGGTGAGAGGAGGTGGCCGGCTGACGACGCGGCAGGGCGGGCCGCGGCCTGGAAAAGGAAAGCTGCTGTGCCGCCCACCATGTGACAGGCCCCACCCTCCTCCGCCATTTTGAATTGTGGCGAGAAATTCGCGTTCTGAGAACTGTGAGAACCTTTCCCATTTTGAAAACTGGAGGACGTCACTGTATGACTGCTGGAAGCCCTTTTCAGAGAGTGAGAAACGCGGTATTAGTCTAACCTGACGTCGATTCACACAGTCAGGACTGGTTAATACAGCATCCTACCTTTATCCGAATACATTTATTGAATGCCAACTGTAGGTGTCAAACACTAGTATAGATGTTGGGGATACAGCGCAAATTAAAGCAGACCAAAATCCCAGTTCTTGTGTATCTTTATATTCTTGGGGGAGGGAAAATAATAACATATATATATATATTACATAAAATTAATGACAAATGCTAGGGAGAAAAATAAGGCAAGGGAAGGTGGGTGGGAGAGCGCCCGGTGGCGGCAAATGGGAATTGCAGTGTTAAAGAGTGGTCAGAGGTGGCCTCTCTCAGATGGTAATTCTGAAATTCTTGAAAAGGGGCGGTGTTTGTAAAAGGGTGGGAAAATCTGATAACGTTGGACTTTAAGGGCGGTTAAGGAAGACCTTTCTTAGATAGTAATGCATGAAAGAAGGTACTGTATGAGCTAGTAAGCAACAACTCGTTTTCACAGTTAAGAAAAACAACCACAGTTTTAGGATGTTATCTCGTTTCCTTTCTCATTTTTCTGTTTTCTGTGTTTTCAGGTAACAGTCCAGCTACACTGGCTTTCTTAGTATTCTTCCAGCGAACTAAACTTGTTCCCACCTCTACAACTCTACTTAGGCTGGCATTTTCCTCTTCATATCTTTGCTCTCATCATCCAAACCTTTTCTCAATTGTCATCTCCTCAGAAAACACTCCCCTAACCACCCTATCTATACAACTTCGTATACAACTTCCTATCTATACATATATATATACACAATACATATATATATATATATACACATAGATATATATAAAATATATCTATATTTTCTCCCCTGAAAACGCTCCCCTAACCACCCTGTCTATACAACTTCCTATACAACTTCCTATCTATACATTTATATATACAATACATATATATATACATATATATACACATAGATATATATATAAAATATATCTATATTTTCTCCCCAGAAAACACTCCCCTAACCATCCTATCTATACAACTTCCTATACAACTTCCTATCTATACATATATATATACAATACATATATATACATATATATACACATAGATATATGTAAAATATATCTATATTTTCTCCCCAGAAAACACTCCCCTAACCACCCTATCTATACAACTTCCTACACAACTTCCTATCTATACATTTATATATACATTACATATATATATACATATATATACATATATATACAATACGTATATATACACATATATATACACATAGATATATATAAAATATATCTATATTTTCTCCCCAGAAAACACTCCCCTAACCACCCTATCTATACAACTTCCTATACAACTTCTCACATGCCCTTACTGGGCTTCCCTGGTGGCTTAATGGCAAGGAATCCACCTTCCTACGACGCAGGAGACACATGTTCCATCCTTGGGTCAGGAAGATTCCCCTGGAGAAGGAAATGGCAACTGACTCCAGTATTCTTTCTGTGGAAATCTCATGGACGGGCAACTCTGGTGGGCTCCAGTCCATGGGGTCTCAAAGAGCTGGACACTACTTAGCAACTCAGCAACAACAACAACATCCCCTTCCCAGCTTAATTTTCTTTAAAGAAATTCATCTGAAAATATTTGTTTACCCCCACCCCCTTAACAGTAAGCCTCTTGTTCACTGTTATATCCCCAACAAGCTCATAGTAGACCCTCAAATATTATTTGAGAGAGTGCCAGCCTCAGCATGATGGCCATTTCATCAGCCAGATATGTATTTCACTCCAAGCAGTTACAACAATATCCCTCATACTTACCTGCTCAACTTTCAAGCATTCTTGATAGTAATATTACCATTTTTGACAGTATGGGAATGTGGATTAGATACTGTGTCTCTACTCAGTGTTTGTCTTATATTATGTAATCATATACTAGAACTTTTACCTTTTTACCTAGTGTAAAGTGAATTCTTCAGTGGCCAGCAGTTGCTGTTAAGCTTGATATTGAGATTATGGCAATAACATTAGCCACTCCTTGACATATTCTTGAGACAAATATGGCTTAATGTAAAATATAAAATGATAAAAGTAGTAGAAAACATAAGTGTATATGTCCATAGCTTTGGGGATGTGGAAGGACTTTCTAAATTTGACACAAAATCCACAAAAGGGATTACTGTTAAATACAACTTCATAAATGAAAGCTTCTGAATATCAACACACAATGCTAATAAAATTAAAAGACAAATGATACACTGAGAAAAATAATTTAAGTATGATTGCTAAGGATTAGTACTGGTTTATAATAAAAAGGGAAATTGGCAAAAATGCTGCATATATGATAAATATATGATAAGCATGTATGGCTAATATTACTACAGTGTCCAATTTATGATGGTTCGACTTAAACAATTTTTTTGACTTTAAGATAGTATAAAGTGATACTTATTCAGTACTTCAGATTTTTGATCTTTTTCTGGGCTAGCGATATGCAGTACAATACTTTCTGGTAATGCTGGGCAGCAGCAGTGAGCTGCAGTTCACAGTCAACCACATCTTGAGGGTAAATAACCCAAATATTGGTAACAATTCTGTACCCACACAACCATTCTGTATTTCAGTATTCAATAAATGACATGAGATATTCATCACTTTATGATAAAATAGACTTTTTGTTAGATGATTTTGCCAAAATGTAGGCTAATGTAAATTATCTGAGCGTGTTTGAGGTAGTCTAGGCTAAACTATCGGAGAAGGCAATGGCACCCCACACCAGTACTCTTGCCTGGAGAGTCCCATGGACAGAGGAGCCTGGTAGGCTGTAGTCCATGGAGTTACTGAGTCGGACACGACTGAGCAACTTCACTTTCACTTTTCACTTTCATGCACTGGAGAAGGAAATGGCAACCCACTCTAGTGTTCTTGCTTGGAGAATCCCAGGGATGGGGGAGCCTGGTGGGCTCCCATCTATGGGGTCACGCAGAGTCGGACACAACTGAAGCGACTCAGCAGCAGCAGTAGGCTGAAATATGCTGTTTGGTAAGTTATGTGCATCAGATGCATTTTCCACTTAGGATATTTTCTACTTAGGATGGATTTTTTGGGACATAACCCCATCATAAATTGAGGAAGATCTGTAGTCTATGAAGTACTATTATAAATGTTTTTAAAAGTAAGTGCTCCAATGAAAAAATAGGCAAAGGACATGAATAGACAATTTGAAGGAGAAAACATTTGGCTGATAAACATAACAATAATAGTAATCAGAGTGAATAATCAACCTCACGAGTAATCAGAAATAAAAACAATGATATCTTTTTTTTGCCTAGCAGAATGTCAAAGATTAAATATTTTATAATATTAAGTGTTGGTAAAGATGGTATGAAATGGGCACACTTGTATGCTACTGATACAAATTGATGCAACCATTTTAAGGTAATCTGGCAACATGTATCAAAAGCCTCAACATCCATATTGTTTGACCAACAAGTCCACATATAGAAATTTATTTTAAGGAAAATAAGTGGACAAGTTTGCAAAAGTGTACCTACTAAATATACAAAGGTGTTAATCTTAATTAATTGTATAGTATTGAAATACTGAAAAATCAGAAAAATATTCAACAATAATAAGTTAAACACAGTGTATCCACATAATGGACTACTACATAGCCATTAGAAATGCATAGCTAAAGAAATGGGTAGATCTGAAAATATGTTTTTAAATAGAAAGACAATCTATAAAATAGTACATATTCTATTTTTATATTAAGATACATGTGTGTGTATATATATATATATATATATATATATATAGAAAAAAGTCTAGATGAGTATGCAAATAAAATCAAAGGATTATTAGTCATTTTGACTTCTTTACCTCTTTCTGTTTTGTCTTGAATATTTACAATATGCATTTATTACTTGGTATTGGGAGAGGGGCAATTTTTATTTTGAAAGAAAAGTCTATTTGAATCTGGAAAAAAAACCAAAAACAAATATCTCCCCAACTACTTATTCCTTCCATGTTTCAACAAGTCTACTCTCTTCTTTCTTTCTTCTCTCTCCCCGGTGTATTCTTTCAAGCTTTTTATAAGCCAGAGAGTGCTTACTTCCAACATCTAGGAAATGAATTCTCAAAACAGTTTATCCGATAATGGCGTTCAATGCCACACTAGAACCCAAGGAAGCAACCACTGAATAATTCTCATTGAGTTTCTCTCTAGCCTAATTACATCTCTCTCATGTACTTTTTACATATGTGTGATGTTCACATCATTTTTATCACTTCCTTAACAGAGAAAAATAAAAGAATATTCCAATTTTCCTTCTGTTCATTTATTCAGCAAAATGTATTGATCATCTACTATATGATGATCATCTACAGTAGGTTGACCATCTGCTGTATTTCCCAGATATTAAATGGTGGCTGGGAATAGATCAGTGAATCACAAACCACAAGTCCCTGCCCTTGTGGCAAGACAGACATTGACTAAATACTTTTAAATGTAATGAACATTACAAAAGAGACATGGATACAATAGGAGGGATATATGAAGGGAACGTTTAACCTAGAGAAGCTGCCATTTTTAGCTGTGACTTGAGCTGAAGGAAAAATGATGGTTAGAGAGGAAAGGAAGATAAGGGAGGAGCCCTGAGGGAGGGAATAACCTATACAAATTACCTGGGGTCAGAAAATGGAGACTAGGAAACTGAAAGAATAGCTTGTTTTCTCTAGAAAATCATTCTGTTTTATTTTCTTCATAGCACTTATCACACTGGAATTTATCTAGTCTATTTGCTTATGATGTTTACTGATTGTATTTCTATGTTTGTAGTCTGTCAGTCTTCCCACTGGCCCACTCCCAGTGTAAAGTTCTGTGGGAACTGAGGCTTAGCCCCACTCCTTCACCACTGAATTTTCCAAGCCTGAAATACATAATAGACACTCATCAGTATTTCTGGACTAAATCAATGAATTGCTGTGCTGTGCTTAGTTGCTCAGTTGTGTCCGACTGAGTGGGTTGCCATGCCTTCCTCCAGGGGATCTTCCCAACCCAGGGATTGAACCCATGTCTCCCACATTGCAGGCAGATTCTTTACAATCTAAGCCACCAGGGAAGCCCAAATCAATGAATTAGCTTGTAGTTCAAATTAGAGATTTTGGATCTTATCCTCAGAGCAAAGGGAAGTTGTTGAAGAGTTTTAAAAGGATTACTTAAAAGCAAACTGATGAAGGATTTTTCATTTTTTAAAAAAGATCTTTATGGCTGCTATGTGTTCATTTTTTTTTTTGCATTTTCTTTATGGTGGATTTATTTACTATTTTAGGAGTCCAAACTCCTTTATTTTTAAGAAATTCAACAGGTTTTGTGGCATCCTCCTAAATATCTATTTATTTAGTTTGGATACTGCCTCTAATGTCTTTGTTAAAATTTTTTCATAGGAATCACTGAACAAAATCAATTAATCAGAAAACCAGTATCTGCTTCTTAGCACTTCCATTTTGCTTAAGTTCATTCCTTTAGGAGTTCATAATAATATTCAAAACATGAATGGATTTTAAATGTTTTCTTCAGTTTGCCCTGAGAAAGGGGCAACAGGATGGGAAGAGACAGCTGAGCTCATTCATTTATTCATTGATTCAGTTAAGTCTTTTATTCAACAGTATTTATTGTGTGCCATGGCACTGTGCTAGGTCTTGGGGCTACCGATATAAAAGATATAGTCTCTGTCCTGAGGAAGTTCACAATCTAGAGGAAAGGCATCCTGGGAGGATATATTTCATTTGCAGTCATTTTGTGACAATATGTGGAAGCTAAAGCTGATCTGTTGGTTCCATTATAGGGGCCCCAGCAACACTTTTTCGGAAGTCAGCCACAAGTTTGTATTTATAGAGTGTTTGAGGTCTTAAAAATAAATGAAAGATTAGAGAGTAAAGCACACAAAGTGTAAGAGTAAATCCCTTTTATTCCTTACCATCTGTGGAAGATATTTTTAACCTAAAAACCTTAAGAACATCTTGTATATTCGCCTTAGACTAGTTAAAAAGATTACAATTGGTTTTATTCCTAGCAGCACAATGTCATGTTTACACCAGCACTGCTATTTAAGACCTAGTTACTCTAAAACTCAGTTCATCTCTTTGAAAAGGTATATGGTGATGTGTATGATTTCTCCAACCAATGCCCTGTTAAGTTAATTAACTGAGGTTGCTCTCCTCCAGGAAAATATACTGTAGAAAAAAATAAGAAGTGTTATTGCAAATATTCAAACATAGTAGAAATAAAATATGTACTGATGCCTGCTTAATTATATCAGTAGTGGGGTAACTCAGTAGATTCACTGTCATGTCTCTTTTCCCCAGCTATTACAGCAACAATTAAAGAGTTCCTTTTCCATTCTATGCTTTGGGGGGATATAAAAAATAACCTGCCTAAGGAAGCAATATCAAGCACCTTATGTACCAAAACATCAACGTTTCAGATGTTCTGGTTTAGAAAGCACAAGGCAGTTTTCCAGCTCATGCCAGAAACAACCAGGAAGTGATCTTCCTGTAACAAATCAAGTGCAATATAACAGAGAGAAGACAGAAAGCTTGGATTTAGAGAAGAAATACCCATCTTATCTCCAATTATTAATCTATTTTAATAAATACTTTGTCACTTATTTAAAATGGCAAATAACTAAATGTTTTAAATAGATTAAGCTGACTACGCACTTTCCCTGGCATCAAGCAACTTTATACCAAGTTTCTGTTTAGAGAGATGACTCTGTCCATGCTTATCTCTGTCCTTTTCAGTCATCATGAAAGCTTCAGGCTCATCTGGCCCAACACCCATTTAGTTTCATTTCCATAGAGATCAGCTGTAAATACACTTCTACTACCACCTGTCCAGTTTTACAGCCTCTCAACACTTTCCACGGAGCCCTCTGGGACTGCACACTCAATACTAACACACTCCCCTGCTTTCTCAGTCTATTCATAGAAAGATCTCTCCTTCTCAGCACTTTGAAAAGTGTCAGCTTCCAAAAGACCTCCTCTCCCCTCCAAACTCACTGAGAAATAAAAAACCAAGTGCAGACTTGGTTTTCCTCACAAAGCCTTTATATCTCAAACCCAGAAGGAGAGTTGGGAGGGCACTTAGATAAAATACAGATTCCTAGGCCTCACCCTAATAATTTGATTCAGAAATTTTAGGATAGAACCCAAGAATCTTCATTTTATTTTATTATTTTGCATTTTATTTATTTATTATTAATTTTTATTGGAATTTACAACTATACTCCAATAATTGTGTTAGTTACTGCTATACAGCAAAGTGAATCAACTATATATATACATATATCCCCTCTTTTTTTTATTTCCTTCCCATTTAGGTCACCACAGAACATTAAGTAGAGTTCCCTATACTATACAGTAGGTTCTCATTAGTTATCTATTTTATATTAATACATAGTAGTGTATATATATTAATCCCAATCTCCCAAGTCATCCTACCCCACCTTCCCCCTTGATATCCATATGTTTGTTCTCTACATCTGTGTCTCTATTTCTGCTTTGCAAATAAGTTCATCTATGTCAATTTTTTAGATTCCACATATAAGTGATATTATACGATATTTGTTTTTCTCTTTCTGACTTACTTCACTCTGCATGACAGTCTCTAGGTCCATCCACATCTCTGCAAATGGCACAATTTCATTCCTTTTTATGGCTGAGTAATATTCCATTATGCATATATGTATATGTATGTGTATATATATATATATATCTCACATCTTTATCCAAGGAATCTTCATTTTAAAGAGACCCTCTAGGAGATTCAGATACAGGTTATCTGCAGAGAAGTGTTTGGAAGATGGGCTTTAGTTAAAACAATACTAATAGTTACCATCTACGGTGTCCCTAATATGTGCCAAGAATATTATGCACATTTTCTCATTTAACTTTTACCAAAAAAAATCTTAAGAGATGTTACAAGCATTTTATAGTTGAGGGAAATGAAGCTTAAAGCAGCAAAACCAAAATTTGCATGAGATCACACAACTGGTAAATAATGAAGATAAATTTGTACTGTGTAAGTGCATGCTGCTTAACAACCCAGATCTCCGAGCTAACAACCCAGATCTCCGAGCTCCTAAACCAGAGGTCAAGTGAATACTACATTAAAAAATATGTTCCTAAAGATGATTGAAAAGGCAGAAAACCTAACTTTGCTGGAAATCATATTCCCTAGAAGTTCTATATATCTGACAATACTAAAGATATTGAATGGAAATGGTCTTTTCAAATAAAAGTTTTCACCTCCCTCCACCCTGCCCTCACAGACAATTGCAGAAATCAGGTAAAGTCACATATTTCTTTGGCTTAGGTTAATTCCTTGTTTTGTGTGTGTTTGTGGGTTTTGTTTGTTTTTTTATTTTTTTGGCAGGACATAAAGCACTTGGAAATATCTACAGAAAGGGTGCAGTCTCTGACTTCAAGAAGGCCTGAACAGTGCTCACCTGCTTCTTTGGTCCAGGGCTTGGTTGAGCAAGAATCCTAAAGTCATAAACAGAATATCAGACTTAGGCAGCAGTGTAGCTGGACTGGTCACTTTCTATTGGTGTAGAGTTGGAATTGTACAGTTTGGCTGGTTCATGTTGCCCGTTGAGTAAATGTAGTAAAAGTCAGTACAAGATGAGATGAGGAAACTAAGAGACACCAATACAGTTGGTATTAGCTCTAACCCTGAGCAATGCTTGCCAGACAAACAAGTTCATTTTAGTTTTCCCTTTGGCATTCCTCCCTAACTAAATTTCCAACCATCTACCCCAGGATCTCACTGTCAGAGTTTAGCGAACCTCAGTTATTTCTAATCATAGTCAAAAGTTTATTATATCCCCTTACTATCAGTGATGTTTTCCTTTAAACTTATCCACATTTTAAAATGTGTGTTTATTTAAAAGATATTTTGTATCACTATTATAAATGGAAAACCAGTGTCACTTGTTATAAATGGAGGAAAATCAGAAAAATCAATACATAATTAGTAAAACAGTGTTCACCTGAATATCACCTAAGATCATGCTGATTGCACCTAATATGCTGACTAACATAAGCAAGAGAAACTTTGTCTATGGACTGGTATTCCTAGCCTGGAACCCAATGCTGTCCAGATGTTATTACTGCATTATGTTCCTTCTTTACCTTCCAAATTAAGCCAGTTCTATATTTTTCCTTTCAGGGCTCAAGCCTCTGGTGGCCTATTCCAAGGGGATAATTAGCTCAAATTGAATAAACCGATTTATAACATAGGAGAAGGATTAGAAGAGATTCTCTCCAGATAATACATATGGGTTTTAACTCTTGCCTTCTTGAAATAACTGTTATCTTTTTTTCTAGAAACCTATGATTGCCAAACCTCCAAATCACTGGGGCCAGAGCCTACCCTGGTGAGTCTGATTCCAGTAGAACTAAGGTGGCTTCCAGATATCTGTACTTAAGAAACAATCAATCAAACCTCCCCAAGTAATTTGAATGTGCAACCTGTTTGAGAACTTTGGAATAACCAAAAGAGAGGTCTTTTGGGGGGAGAAATAAC